CTCGGGTGTGCCCAGGCTGGGTGCTCGCAGGCCGCCAGCGCTGGCACAAAGGGGGATGCCGAGAGCATGGAGCCAGGCTCAAGCGCTGGGACGCGAGAGAGCGAGCAGAAACTGACACACAGGAAGTCGCACTGAACTTACATTAGAGCCGATTTTCATCATAACCTCACTACTGTTTCCCCATGCACACCTCTGAAATGTGTTGGTGCTCTGGGTCCTTGATGGAGCTGTATTATAGTGTGTCGATTTCCCATCACAAGAAGGCTCTGGCAGGGAAAAAAGCTATAGTCTCCTCTGATTTGTGCCACTGCTTGCTGCATTTGTGACGATAGGCATCTCCAGGAAAGCAGAGAGGCAATTTTGCAGGGCCATTCCCCACTTCTGCAGAAGCTACAAAATAGTACTTCATATTTCATCAGAGGAGTTGGCATCTGAGTTCACCAAATGCAAAGTTTTCAGGGGTAATCCCCTGAATTGAACATGTAGGGGTGAAATTCTTCATAGAATCATAGATCTGTGGGGAAGGGTCCTTAAAGATCATGTAGTTCCTCTCTGCCATGCACAGGGACACCTTTTACCAGACCAGGTTGCTCAGAGCTCCATCCAACCTGGCAATGAACATTTCCAGGGATGGGGCATCCACAACCTCTCTGGGCAACCTGTTCCATTGTCTCCCTCACAGTAAAGAATTTCTTTATTATATCTAATCCTAGACATACTCTCTTTCAGTCTGAAGCCATTCCCCCTTGTCCCATCATACTCCTGTAAGAAGTCCCTCTCCGTCTTTCTTCTAGGTGCTCCTCAGATACCAGTAGCTCTCTGTAGTTCTAAGTCTTTTAAGTTTGTCTAGAGGGCAATCAATCTGTTTTTCATGTGGCATAATTTAAAAAAGGAAAAACCTATATAACTTTTTTTCTATTATAATAAAATCCATTATGTGCTTTCTTTGAGTTGGCCTGCTGCTGAAATGAGCATGGTTAAAAGGAAACACATGCCACAGGCCTAGAATTTCACCTCTGCTTAGTTCTGAGGAATCTGAACTTCATTTATATAAAGTCAGAGCCTTTACAAATCACTTACAGAGAACACACTCAGGAATTTTTTTACACTTGCAAGGCTGACAGATGGGTGTAAGGTTATTCTAGTAGGAGTCCAATTCATATTTATTCTCCTCTACGAGCTGAAAAGTGAAACACACTGCAGTGTCCAGGAGTCCTGGTAAGATGCACAAAGTCTGAGCACGGAGTTCTCCTTTGCCTTGTGTTGTGAACATGGTCTTACCTAAAACTCTCTCATCTGTAATGGGAAATCAGCTGTGAAGCACTTAGAATTTTAAATATAAACTAGTTTCTGTGCAGGCACTGTTTAGATGCATAAATAAATGCCATCATGTTACCTAGCAAGGGTAGACGATACAGCAGAAAACCACACTGACACCCTGCTAATGCTACCAGAGCAGAGTGATGCTTTAGTACTCTAAGGTATCCAAAATCATCCTAGTGCTGCAGAAATATTAATCCTTTAAATAGGTTTGATTGTATTTTTCAGTATTGTGCATTATATTTCACAGAATACAGCTGAAATACACCAATACTCCTCAAGTCATGTTTGGGTAAGACCAGCTCCCTGACTAGAATAAGTTTACCTACCATCCTTCAAATCAATGTTTTGGTTCCAGTGTTTACCTTGAGCAAAACAGAATTACCAAGTCTTTTACTGCCTAGGGATTTTTTCACATTCATTCCCAAGTGTTTTACATCTAGCTCCTTGCATATCATTCCAATTGGGCCAGCAAAAAGCATTTATAGGACCGATCCTGTTCATCAACCTTGTAACAGCTCCTGCTGAAAAACAATGAAAATATTTCTATTTATTTCAATGGAATTAGAGCCAGGTCCTTAAGACTTAAGTAGAACTTACATGGTGCTTAGGTTTTATGCTTGCCCTCTGCACAGGGGTGAATCTCATTCCAGCAAAATGCCACTGGAGGATAGCAAAAACTCAGCAGCAATATAACCATCTAAGCCTGAAGGACGTCCTTATTTTAAAAGTTTGTACTCTGCAGTGTACATTTACATGGATTTTAGATAAATTTGTATATACACACATAAATATTTTAAAATTAATGTTTTGCCCATTAAAATGCTGTGCAAATTAAATGCAGAAAATATTATCTATATTTTAATTTAAGGAAACCCATCCTCCTGAAGGAAAATAATTTTCATCTTTTCACCTAATAAAGCTTTGAAGAATTTCATTAGTACGACTACGTGCTATTTCAGTGCATTTGCTCTTGGCTGGTGATCACATCATTATCATTAAATTTTGCTGTAATAGAAGTTCTATCTCCATGGCTTGTAAGACCATTAATCTGAAGGAATCAATTCCTGCCAGCCTTCTGTTTTGCTGCTACCTGTATGCAGAAATTACAGCCAGGATTCCTCCCTGCCTGCCCAGCCACCTCGGTGGAACAGGTCACTCCCTGGGCCTGCTGGCCAGTGCTCTCTCATTCAGCCAGCACCACCTCCCCCACCTGCCAGTGGGTCAGCTGGAACCAGTGCTCACCGCCCCACCTGCCAGTGGATCAGCTGGACCCAGTGCTCACTGCCCCACCTGCCAATGGGTCAGCTGGAACCAGTGCTCACTGCCCCACCTGCCAGTGGATCAGCTGGAAACAGTGCTCACTGCCCCACCTGCCAATGGGTCAGCTGGACCCAGTGCTCACTGCCCCACCTGCCAATGGATCAGCTGGATCCAGTGCTCCCTAGGGCAGATCAAGCCAGGCAAGGCTAGCTGAGGCAGTTTAGTGACTTTGGGCTAAGTTATCCAGGCTGCTTTTCAGCCAAAGCAAGTTCAGGGCCATGAACAACTCCTGCAGATCTTTGCACTGAGTCCTCAGCAGGAGAAGGATGACAAATCATTGGAGTGGG